TTAAGATGAGTCATTGTACTGATTTGCATTTAGAATATTTTAGTGATTTCTTTTATGCTGTTAGGGTCCTTGTGTATATTGTTCTCTTGGTTTTGCTTATGTCCCTGTCATCAGTTCTTTTAACTTCCTCAAGTTTTTCATTTCACAATATTGTTCTCTCCTCCTTCTCCTCCCATCTGTCTGACTGCTCTTTCTCAGTATCCTTTGGTAGCTCAACCATGTTTCACTTTCCATCTATGTGTATGTCCCAAGGCTCTGTTTTCACCCTTTTCTTCTCTATATATCCTGTCTCTCTCAGTGATTGCATCAACTCTCATAGGTTCAATTATCATCTCTATGAAGATGACTCCAGATCTATCTAGCCCTAGTTTCTTTCCTAAGTGCCAATTCCAAATGAGCAAGTGCTATTGGACATCTCTCCAATTGGATGTCAAACTCAAACAGAAACATGGCCACTAATCTGTACGTAAGTATTCCTGCAGGTCACATATTGATTTAGTTTTAAAATGTAATATTTTCAATATTTAATTATATTTTTGTTTCTTTTGTTAAATATTTCCAAATTACATTTTAATCTGGTTCAGGCTACACTTGGGAATGTTGTGAACTATTTTAATTCCATAAGGAATAGAGAGGCTATAGAAGGAATAAATATAAGAGCCATGAGTCAAAGATTAAGAGTCTAAAATAGGCTGAAAGGGAAGATAAAGAAAAGAATGACAGAGAAATCTTTTTTTTTAGAAAAAAAGGCTCAGAAAATTAAATTTAAAAATTAACAAACAAAAGAAGTTAAAGGGGAAGAGAAGATTGAGGATTTTACTTGACTACTTAACTGAGAAAAAGAGAGGGAGAGAATTAAATAACCAGATGAAAGGAAGAAATTTTAAAAAAAAAGAACTAATAAGTTAAGCAGAACTCCAGAACTAGGGAAAAGGGTAACAAAAAACTAGGGAAGGGCTTTGAGGGTGAGAAGAAAAAAAGCCTGTGGGAATAAGGTTGCCTTATGATAGAAAGCTAAAACAACTGAAGAGGCAAAGTTCTGTCTTTACAGAAGAAAGGGGAACAATATTTAATACCAAAAACAAACAACCCAATGTTAGAGATAAATGGAGAAACATTTAATCCTAACTCTTATAACTTTAAATGTGAATGTAATAACTAACCACCCAAAATGGAAAGAGTGACAGATTTGATAGAAAAACTAAAACTTTATATATGTTGCTTATAAAAACACACACACATTAAAAAATAAAGACACAAGGGGCAGCTAGGTGGTTCAGTGGATAGATCACTGGCCCTGAAGACAGGAGGACCTGAGTTCAAATCAGGCCTCAGGCCAAACACTTGACACTTACTAGCTGTGTGACCTTGGGCAAGTCACTTAACCCCAATTGACTAAAAAGAAAAAAAGAAAAAAAAAAAGAAGAGCATTTTAAAAAATAAAGACACACATAGAACAAAAATGAGAGGTTGGGACAAAATTTACTATGCATTAAGTGAATTTTTTTTAAAAAAAGCAGAAGTTGCAATCATTCTATAAGACAAGGCAAAAACAAACATTCACAACATTAAAAAAACATAAATAAAGAAACCCACTGATATCAGTATTAAGCTTATATGCTCCAAATGTCACCTAAATTCATAAAAAGAAACATTAACTAAATTTCAAGAAGATATAGACAGTGATATGATAGTGGCAGGAAATTTCAATGTCCTCTCAGTTTTGGACAAATCTAACAAAAAGACAAAAGAGAAAATAGAGAATTGAACAATTTTCTGGAGAAAGTAGAACTTAATGATTTATGGTATCTTTTAAATGGGATTGCTAAAGAAGATACATATTTCTCAGCACCACATATAACTTTTATGAAAATTGACCATTTATTAGGGTACAGGAATATTGCAAACAAATACAAAAAAGAGAGAAATGGGGAACACATTCTTTTCAGGCCATAATACTATAAAACAGTAATCTTTTCAGAGGGAATAAACAAAAGACATAGACTCAAGTGGAAGTTGGACAATGAAATCCTAAATTACAAATGGCCAAACAATAAACAATAGAAACAATTAATAATTGTGTTAAAGAAAATGATTAAGCAACATACCAAAATATTTATGTACTTACCTCCTTGGGCTGTAGGAAAGTTAGAAAGATAGGTTGAGGCCAGGTGGTATATGACCAAACCCAAAGTCACCTCCATGCCATGATAAGACATTAGAATTTTATAACATTACTGATGAAAAACTCTCACATAATTGTATTAATTATAACTTACATTGATGTAATTGTAACTTATCTTCACTTTAAGGTAAACAAAACTTTCCCCATAACAGCCCCATGAGGCATGAGTATTGTCAAGTATACAAGTATTATTGTCTCTATTTTACAGGTTGAGGCTTACAAAGATTAAGTGACCTACTTATGATCACACGAGCAAATATTACAGCCAAGATTTGTCTTCAAATTTAGTACTCTTTCCATTCCACCCCACTACAAAGTGCTATCTGAGGTCGGAGGGAGAAGTTTATATTCTAACAAGGAAAGACCTTCTTTTTGTAAAGTAAATTATAGAGAACCCTAAGTACCACTTAAACATAAATTTAAAAATAAAGACAACTCCCCAGGCAAATAATATATTCTTACTTTTACTTGAAACTCAAGTAATCTAAGGTTCTTGGTTGTCTTTTTCACTTTTTTTCTTTTTTGCCATCCTCCCCTCCCCCAAATACAATGAGTTTTAGATCAGAACAAAGCTAGAGAGGTGGAGCTATGTTTCAGTGTCTACTGCCAGCATTGCAGAGATAGACTACAGGTATCCTGGCTACCTAACGCACTGTTTGCTCTCTTTTTTCCTCTTCACTAACAAAAATCAGTCAGTATCTAGCAGAATGGCTAGTACACCTGGGAAATGGATGTCATTAATTGGAGTCAGTCTCATCTGTTTTAAGGTGGTAAGTTCAATTAATTTCTTGTTGCAATTATTTTTGTGGTAAAGAAACTTTATACATTATTAATTTTTTAAAAAGTAATTAAAACTCTTTAGACCACTCTCAGATCTTACAGTATGGTTAGTTGGGTTTTTTTTAACCCTCTTAAATGCTACAAATACACTAAAGAGAGAAAGCAACATTATCATTATATCTTAGAACCAAGAATGTTAAAAAAAAAAATCTGTCAGTAACCACTGACTCAGGCTTCTGAATCAATAGACAGATTCAGAGAGAAATGAGAAATAGTAATGTGATCTACCCAGCAAGATCCCCTCCACCTTGTGATTGTTTTGTCAATGAACCCAATAGTCACAGACCAATTTGTGCAAATAAATGCATTGCATTGATTCAGGGTGTGAAGTACGTAAGAAAAATATAGTAAATCATTTGATTATCTCAAGTTGTATTTGATATTTTCCCCAAAATGGCAGTTTTATTTTTGGTTCTAATCTAATTTTCTTTTTCAGATTGCTTCATCAAATGCAGGTAAAACTCTCTAAAAATCAGGGTCTTCCCCATATGTTGATTTTAATTTCCGTTGTTTTCTTTGTGGATTCACCTGAAACATTCTAATTATATCAGGATATGAATTCAACAACTGGTAAGATAAATTAACAAATAAAAGTAACAGGGTCTATTCAAATGTAGTATCCTTCATAATGCCATTTCTGAAGTAACATAGGGGTAGTTATTTCTTTATCTGCAAGTTAATTCATTGATATGACTCCAACCAAAAAATGAGTTTTTATGAAAATAGGAACAATTTAAGGCAAAAATCCATTTTATTAGCCCTCAGAAGTATGGCATTAATCCTAAAAGTCAGTGGAAATGTTAATCATTTTTGTGTTACAAATTGATTTATTTTTCTGTGAAAAGAAGTAGAATGTTTTCTCATTCACGATTGGTTAAGAAGCTAGAGTATAAGATTTTTTTAACTACTTTGGGGGAGATGGAGGAGTAAATTAGAAATTTTACTCTTTCATTACACTTTAAAAGGTTTAATTAATGCTTTAAAAAATACAACTATTACTTTTTGAAACCCCATTCTCCATAGTACTGTCTCTTGTAACAGTAAAAAAAAAAAAGCACAATTGATCAAAACAAACCATTATACATCTTTCAGGATTTTTAACATTCTACATGCAATAATAGCTAACATTTATATAGTTCTTTAAGGTTTACGAAGTGCTTTACATATATTATCTCATTTGATCATCACAACAGCCCTAAGAGGTAAGTGCTCCTATGATCCCAATTTTACAGATGAGGAAATGAGGCACAAAGAGGTTTAGTGACTTGCCTAAAGTCACACAAGAAGTGTCTGAGGGAGGATTCAAACGCAGGTCTTCCTGATTTCAAATCCCCCACTCTATCTACTGCACCACCTACCTGCTTACTTAGAGCCTTACAGTACATCACTTCACTACTGCTAGGAGAGAAATACGGTTCATCACCAAAGATCTTCCGAAACAAAGATCTGATTTTGATCTGAATTCTGATAGCTTCTAATGCTGTTTTCATTTATGCTATTTTAGTCGTAGTATATTGTTCTTTGTTTCTGCTTTCTTTGCTTTGCATCAGTTCATATGGATCTTCTCACATTTCATTAAATCCATATATTTATTGTGGTAGTTGTTATTTTCGGATACAATAATATTCTGTTGTACTCATTGACCACAATTTATTTAATCATTCCTCAAAAGATGGGGGCTCACTTTGTTCAGTTTTTTGCTACCTTAAAAAATGATGCTATAAATATTTCTAGTATTGATCTCTTACTAAATTTCTAATTTTTAATTCTGCCTGAACTTTCCCCTAAAGAGAATTTCCAACTCTTGGAAACATAAAGGAAAAAAAATAGATCATTCTCTTTCTTAGATAGTCTCACCATCTGTTTTTTTCCAGAGGCAGGGGTTTGAACTAGATGATCCCTTTTGGTGTCCCTTATAGTTCTAAAATTCTACAATTCTAAGGCATAGAGCTGGCTTTAAGTCTTGAATGGTTCCATGACTGCATGTGAGTTTCATGTAAGCTTCATTTTAAAAATTTTAAAACCACAATATTTATTGCAGTTTAAAATTACAGAGGACAATGGCGTAGTGGATAGAGGACCCACCCTGGATTCAGGAAGGCTTGAGTTCAAATCTGGCCTCAGACACTTGACACTTACTAGCTGTGTGACCCTGGGCAAGTCATTTAACCCCACGGCATTGCAAAAAAAAAAATTACAGAGGACAATATTTATCAGCAGTAACTATACAGCACAAGGTACAATGACAATTTGGCAGTTATTCAATTATTTGATCAGCATAGACAGCCAAAGTACATAATTCAGTACCTCCCACAAAAGCACCCCAGCCTTCTTCTCTCTCTCCCTCTCTTTTTCTTTCTATTTATCCTTCTCCAAAGGTATTGTGAGTGATGGCACCTGGCACCACTTGTTCAGAGTCCATGCATCTACCAATGACTTGACGCTCCTAAACTGATGTTATCAGAGGCGGCTAGGGCAAGGATCCCAATTCACTTTGTAGTAATCAAGGACGTTCCTTAAACCTGTAATACTCATTTAGCTTTGGGCAAAAGATCTTAGTTTACTCCAATATGTGTGCTTGCATGTATATGTGTATCACAGGACGCTACTTATCTAACTTATATTTTATCTATATAAACCAGCTTTTCCTACTTTCCCCCCTATGTATAATTATGGAAAGAAAGGGTCATAATCTTTCCTTGTCTATATTACAGCAGCTCCTATTAAAATTGGTATTCATTGTATGCTGCCCATGTTTCAGAGGAGATAGAGTTTGGTCAAGTTATTTGTGTTCATTTCCCCTCTCTCCCCAGCTATACCCCACCCCCCAAGCTGCAATGCACACTAAGAAAGAGCAGTAATGGCTTCTTCCATATCGATGGAGGACAATGCTTTTTGCTTTGAAGTGTCCAAAGCCAAATAAAGGAGATATCAATGTCGATGAAAAGTGAAGAGTTAAATTGTCAATACATATCATTCTTTTCAAGGCAGCTAGGTGGTATAACGACTAGAGTGATGGCCTTGGAGCGAGGCAGATAAATTCAAATCCTGCCTTCAGTTCTTACTAGTTTGATGACCCTGGGTATGTCCTTTAACCTCTCTCAGTTTCCTCATCTGTAAAATGGAGATAATAGCATCTACATCACAGTGTTGTTGTAAAGATCAAATATATCTATATATATGGGTGTGTGTATGTATATGTATGTGTATATACATACACATATATATGTATCTTAGTAAGCCTTAAAGCTCTATATAAATGTTGACTGTTATTATTAACAGATATACGGTCAGCTTTGGTTCAAATCATCCACTGCAAACAAAGATAAGACCCCACATTATATCCCATGTCCCAAATAGTTCCTGACCCCTCAAGTCTCTGGTTCAAATTGTGGGCAATTCTCAATGGCAAATTAACCATTTGGCTCATTTTTTCTCCATCCAATTTAAAAATTGAAGCAGTTTGTTTTTATTCCTCTTCCCCTCCTCTCTTCACCAAGCCCAGACTCCAGTATTTGCTTCTTATACTTCCTTCCTCTCATTTTGATCATCCCTTATAATCACCCCTCCTAAGTTGGTTTGTTTGTCTTGTGAATATTTCCTCCATGTTTCTCTTTACCCTCTTAAATCTTCCCTTCCCCTTTCTAGTTCTAACTTATTTCTTTGCGTGTGAGTATAACATATTTTTTCTTAAAACTCTTTGGGCATATGTGTGTTTGTGTGTCTACATTCAACCCTCCTTTGTCTGGTTCACATTGGAGTGACATCATGAGATAATTTCTACTTCTACCTACCTTTTAGCAATAATAAGTTCCTCTCTCTTGTTCTTCATTTCTTTCCTCATGTATTCATTTCTCCTCCTTTTTCTTTCATCTCATAAGACCAAAAATAACAATAATAACAAACCCAGGCCCTGTTTCTTTTAGTTAGTTCCCTCTGTTACCCTTGAAAACATTGGATGTCTGAAGAAACATATCTCTTTAAATTCTCTTACATTAGAATATTTAAGTCCCTCAACATCATTCAATTCCTTCTGATTGCTTTCTGTGTTATTCGACTCCTATGTTTGCATGTCAAAATTTCAATTCTGCTTGGGTATTTTTTATTAGAAACGCTTGGAAGTTCTCTATTTTATTTTTTTTAATCCGTATTTTCCCCTATAGGATTATACTTTGTTTTTCAGAATGAATTGTAATCCCTTATATTTTGACTTTTAAAATATTATATTCTAAGATGTTCTCTTCTTTATAGTAGTTGCTGCTAAGTCTTGTTAGATCCTGACTGGTTCCTTGACATTTGAATTATTTGTTTTTGGCTATTGCAGTATTTTTTCTTTGACTTGGAAGCTCTGGAATTTGGCTTTGACAAACAATGGGTTTTCAGTTTGGGTTTTCTTTTAGGACATGATCAGTGGCTTTTTTTCTATTTTCCTTTAGACCTCTGGTTTTAAGGCATTTAAAAAAATATAGTATTCTAGGCTTTTTGTTTGTTTATGATTTTCATGGAGTCTGATGGTTTTAAAATTATCTCTTCTCAACCAGTTTTCCAGGTCAATTGTTTTTTGCTTGTTTGTTTGTTTTGTATTTTGGTGAGGCAATCAGTTAATTTTTTATTTGTTTAGGTCAATTGTTTTTGATAGTAAGTACCTTATATTTTCTTCTATCTTTTTTTAAATCTTTCAACCACACAAATATTTCTTATTGTCTCATAGAGTCATTGACTTCTGTTTGCTCCGTTCTATTTTTGAGGTAGTACATTATTTAAATAATATTTTCCACTTTCTGTTCTAAACTACTTTTAAAGGGTGCACTGGGTGACCATCCGCTTCATAATGAGTTGGTTTTCTCACTCCAACCTGCCTTCACAATGAAAGATCTAGGTTCCCAGAGAAAGACCACCACCACTAAAATTCTCTCAAGGTCCTAAGAGCAAACCTCTTGAAAGGGAGGGGGGGATATACTTCTCTTACTCAGCATCCTAGTTCTTGAGCCCTCATCAATGCATTTCTATTTACACAACTAAGCCCTCACAATAATGACATTAAAATAATAAACATAACCATTTACTTTACAATAAGGCAGAAAATTAATAAAATTATAGGTACTCATATTAAAGCATATGCATAAATAATAAATACACCACAATCTACACATAAACCTCGGTCACATTCTTCTACCATGAGCTCAGTATCTATGCAGGAGAATAGGCACACATTTATAGAAACCTACCAAAGACAAAGGAATTAGATTATGGGTGGATAACAAAATGAACTCCAACTACTTATGGTTCACCTGGAAAAGCCCCATGTAAACTGCCTCTTTTCTGTGCTTTCTACTCTTGAGCCCCACTGATCATTGGCAAGTTTCTTGGAATGCTGCCTTTATTTAAGCCAACCTTTCTTGCCTCTACTAATATGCTAAGATAGTTCTAGTAATTAACCCTCCTCACTAACTTTTGCCGACAACATATGATCCCACCCTTATTCAGGAAATTCTAAGTATACTTAGAGTTTATTTACAGATAATGGGAAGCTAACTGAAGGATCTCTTGGCTTTTCAGCAGACTTCACTGTCTCTATATGTGATGTGACTTCCACGAGCATTAGTCTGAGGTGGGCCAAGATTGCTGGTGCTGTGTCTTACAAGGTCACAGTCACTCCTGTCAACATGTTAGGCCCTTCAATATTTGCCCTTTTCAATGATGTCACACTTCTAGGCACAATTGCCTCCCTCAGACCCAACACCGTCCATACCATTAAAGTGGATGCTCTTGATAAGAATGGGATGGTGCTGGCTGAGGCACTGAAAATGCAATTAACAGGTTAGTTCTGGGTAGCTGACACCAGTGGTGTGTTCTGTTACCACTATGGAAATGGGAGTTTGTTTTCCTGGCTGGTGGCTTTATAGTCTATCCTGGGAATCATAGGGATCCCATCACTAGGATTGGTTTTTTGTGTTTATTATTTTAAATTAGGTGGATTATTTCCACTGAGAACTGAATAGAACATATAATAGTTAAACAATTATCTAAAAGCATCAAAGCAGTGAAGAGTAGGATCATAGGACACATAAGAAACACAAGCTCTATCTTGTAGCATAGTGGATAAAGCCTTGCACCTGGAATCAGATAGACCTAAGTTCAAATCTATCCTACCACTTACCAGCTGTGTGACCCTAGGCAAGTCACTGAATTGCTGTCTGCCTCAGTTTCCTCATCTGCAAAATGGTGATAACAATAGCACCTACTTCCCAGGGTAGTTGTGAGAATCAAATAGATAACATCTGTAGAGTACCTGGCACATAGCAGACACTTAATAATACTTGGGGGTTTTTTAAAGCCTAAATTTGGAATTCAAAATGTTTAAAAAAAAAAAAGAATGTTAAAATTGCTTTTACATGTAATTGAGGAAAAAATAAAATGTTATTTTAAAAAAGTCATGAGTGGATTAAACAAAGTGAGGAGATAATTAGTTATCAAGCATTTATTAAGCACCTACTGTGTGCCAGGCACCATGCTAAGAACTGGAGATGCAAAGAAAAGCAAAAACAGAGACCCTTTCCTCAAGGACCTCACATTTTAACAGAAGCGACAACATCTATGAATCTATTATACAGTGCATATTAAAGGTCATCTAAAAGGGAGGTGCTGTGAGGTAGGGGGACCAGGAGAGACATCTTGAAGAGTGTGGGCTTGAGCCAAGTCTTGAAGGAAGCGAGCAGACAAAATTGAGGGGGGAAAGGCATTGCAGGCATGGGGGACAGCCAGTGCAGAGTAAGGAGATGGAGCACGATGTGGAAGCAACAGCAAAAAGAGCAGTGTAGGGGAAGGTGGGGGGAGTAAGGAGTGAGAGGATTGCAAAGGTAGATGGGTACAGGTCGGGAAGGGCTTCAGGCACTAAGTGGAGCATTTATATTGGATCACAGAGGTAGTAGGGAGCCATGGAAGTCTGTTGATGAAGGGGCGCAACATGGTCAGACCTACTCTGAAGAAATAACGAGTCCTCCAATTCTGTGACTTTTAGGATGTCACTTGACTTGTCCTCATCTTATAAAATGGTTATAATTACACAAAAGCATCCATTTTCTCTTCTTGTTAGAGCTGTTCAGGGCTAGTCCTTTAGGCAAGTTGTGAAAAAAGCATGATTTTTCTTTGGTAGCCATCCATGGCATAGCTCAAACAATCCTGGATGCATCCAATGGCTCTGATTCAAGTCCCAGATCTGCCATTTAAACATCTGACTTGAGCAAATAACTTGTGCTCTCTGAGCTCAGTTTCTCCAGCCACAAAATGGGAATAATTGTTCTTATCCTGCCAACCTCAGAGGGAGGTTGTTCTCTTCAAATAAGATACTTTGTGAGCAATAAAGCACTGTGGAAACGCCAACATTACTACTCTTGTCTCTTGCTATTATTACTGTCATCATTCTCTCCCTCCTCATCTCCAGGTCTTGGAATCCCTAGATCAGGTCAAATGCCACCTCCAAAAAGCTTTCCTTGATTCTTCCTGCTGTTGGGCTTCCTCAACACCCCTATTATGTTATATTTTTATTTTGTTATCTACTCTGTGTTTACATATCTGTGATCATATGCGCTTCACCCCAGCCCCAACTCTCATGCAAGTTCCCTGAGGGCAACTGTTTGTAAATCTAGTGCCTAACACAATACTCAAGACATGCTGGGGCTTATGACTGTTGATTACCCTTCCTGTTGTAACTGACAGCTTAGGGATCCCTATTGTGAGACTCCTGAGAAGTGCCACATATTCTGAACGCTCAAAAATCTCCACTGCCACCAATTCTACCCCTAATACCCTATTAAAAATGACTTGTCCCATGTTCTGTTCCTAAAGGGCTCTCTCTGCCAGATAACTGGGTAGCTAGCTAATCTGAAACTCATTCAATAAGGAGTTAATGAAATATAGTGGCTTAATGTGTCACCTCTCTAAATTAACATTAACAGTAGCTTTTATTGCTTTAACCTAAAATAGTAAGTAACAGCGGAACCTAGGGGAGATATTTTTGGGGGAGAAGGGAAGGCCTCAAATCACACTATGTAGACAGCTGCTCATTCTGCCTGTGAGTAAGGCCTGAGATTGGTTGCTGCTCCTCAAAATCAAATATTCTGCTTCTTAGTGGCTCAAAAATTTTACATAGAGCTTATAGCCATTCTAAGTTATGGTCATAATTGTGCTAGTTCATTGGAGAGTAAGTTCTCTTTTAAAAAATATTTTATTTTACATGTAAAGACAATTTTAACATTAACATTAGAAAAACACGTTTTTGAGTTCCAAATTCCCTTTCTCCCTCCTTCCCTTACCCACTCCCTGAGATGGTAAGCAATTTGATATAGGTTGTATATGTGCAGTCATGCAAAGCATATTTCCATATTAGTCATGTGAAAGAAGACACAGACCAAAAGGGAAAAAAACACTAAAAAATAAAGTGGAAACAAAAAGTATGCTTCAATCTGCATTCAGATTCCATCAGTGCTTTTTCTGGAGGGAGACAGCATTTTTCATCATGAGTCTTTTGGAGTTTGAAGAGCAAGTTCTCTTGAGAGGAATGAGGGAAACAGGAAATATTGAGATGAGGCCAAGGGCCTCTTCCTTGACTTTTCCAGGTTTTTGCACTCTTTTTTATTAATTAATTTATTTTGAGTTTTAAACATTCACTTCCATAAGCTTTTGAGTTTTAAATTTTCTCCCCCTCTCTTTTGACCTCTCTCCCCAAGATGGTGTACACTGTGATATAGGCTCTACATATTTAACTTATTTTCACATTAGCCATGTTGTAAAGAAGAATTAGAATCAATAGGAGGAACTAAGAGAAAGAAGAAACAAAACAAAACAGAAGGGAAAAAAAGGGTAAATGGTATGCTTCAATCTGAATTCAAATTCCATAGTTCTTTCTCTGGATGTGGATAGCATTTTCCATCATGAGACTTTTGGAGATGTCTCAGATCATTGCATTGCTCAGAAGAGCCAAGTCTATCAAAGTCAGTCATCTCACAATGCAGCTGTTACTGTGTACAATGTTCTCCTGGTTCTGCTCACTTCACTCAGCATCAGTCCATACGAGTCTTTCTAGGAGGTTTTTATTTTCTTCCTGGGTACTTTCCTCTCCAATCCAATCCAACAAGCATTTATTAAGAAAATACTACATTCAGGGTACTGTGCTAGAAAAAAAAATGCAGCCGTTCCCCACAAGGAGCTTACCTTCTCTTGGGGATATAATGTGTAAACAGATAGGTAAAGACAAAATAATTCAAGGAACTACATGAGCAACTAGGAAGATCAAGAAAGGCTTCCTACAGGTGTTTGTAACCTGGGTTGCATGAACTTTTAAAAAATATATATTTTGATAAGCATTTCAATATAATGTTTCCTTTATAATCCTATGTGGGTTTTTTTATGCATTTAAAATATGATTCTGAGAAGGGGTCCATAGATTTCACCAGATTGCCAAAAGGATCATGAAATGAAAAAGGTAAAGAATCTGTACTGTTAGGAGGTAGTTCCTGAGCTGAGCCTTGCAGGGAGTCAGAAGTGAGCAGGGCATTCCCGGCATGGTGGGAGATGGGACCAAGCAGGTTTGGGAAAGTAGGGCCAGTTTGTCTGGAACACAGTGTGTGAGGGGGAGTAATGTGAAATAAGTCTGGAAATGTTGGCTAGAACCTGACTGGGAAGGACTTTGACTGCAAAGATGAGTTTGTATTATATCCTAAAGGCCTACTTTTTGCCTAAAGACAAAATGTTCCCCAGCGGGGGAGAGATATGGTCAAAGTTGTACTTTAAGGAGATTGTTTTGACAGCTGTCACGAAGAGAAGGTTTGGAGAAGAGAGAGATTGGAAACTGAAAGTCTGAATGGGAGGCTGTCATGCAAGAGGTGACAAAGGCTGTGACTAAGGTGGTATTATTAGTAGAAAGATATGAGATATGTTCCAGAGGCATGAGTGACAAGATGACAATTGATTGGATATGGGAGGGGAGAGGAGGACTGGGGAAGAATCAAGGATAGCGCTGACATTGTGTGCCTGGGTCACTAGAAAAATGGTATTATTCTCACTAGAGATAGAGAAGTTTGGAGGGGAAGGGAATAGAGGAGGCAAAATAATGCATTAAAGCCATCCTCCTCCATGCCTTGAACACATTCTTTTCACACCCCTTCCTTTTACAAGCCCTGGCTTCCTTCAAAACTCAGTCAACAAGACAAGTCAATAAATGTATACTATGTTCCATGTATCATGTTAAGCCTGAGGGACAAAAAGAAAGACAAAAAAATAGTTCCTGCCTTCAAGGAGCTCACAGTCTAATGGAGGAAGCAAAATGCAAACAACTATGCCCCAAAAGATACACATAAATTGGAGATAAGCTGGATTTGAAATTTGGAAGACCTGGGTTCAAATTTGCTTACTAGCTGTTGGACCATGAGAAGTCATCTAACCTCTATAGGCCTCAGTTTTCTCATCTGTGAAATGAAGAGGTTGAATTACACAGCATTGAAGGTGCCTTCCAGTTCTAAGTGTATGATCTTATGAGTCTCTTTTAAAGGGTCAACTACCCTGGCAGGATGGTTCAATATAATTAACGTCCCCACAGAACTCTGAAGCTTAGGAAGCGCTTTCCTCACAACACTGTAAGGCAGGTAGTGAAAGCAAAACAATTCTTCTAGGCTCAGATATTTAGAACTACCAAGGACTTTACAATTCATCTAGTACAACCTCATTATTTTTTTTGTTAATATTAAGGAAGCTGAGACTCAGAGACAATAAATGATTTGCTGCAGATCACGCAGGTGTTAAGTAGCAAAGCCAAAGCTAATTTCTGCTTCCAATTCTGAACATTTCCCTATAGAGATCAGTAAACTGAGGTCTAGAATGGTTCAGAGACTTGCCCAAAGCCACACCTTCTAAGTCTCTGTCTAGTGAGTAGACTCCCTATGACATTACACTGTAGGTGAGTATATGCCCTACCACATTATGCTGCCTTCAGTGTAGTGCCACCTTCTCTGGCAAGAGAATCACTGTCATAATTTTTTAAGAGATGGCAAGAGAGAAACATACCTGCATAATGTCGAAAGAATGCTTGGCCATCACACAGTGGGTATATTGTTCATCTTTGTGGAATTATTCTTGAGAGGCTGCCAAATGTCTAGGCCATTGTACAGAAAGAAATGGTTGTCTGTGAACAGGAACAGAAGAATTTGGGGTTTTAAAAAATTCTCTTTTTCTTTTTTTCTTTTTTTTTGCATGGGTGAGTCATCATATACTTAGATGAGAAGGCCGCCTCAGTAAAGTTGTGGGATAAGGAAGATTTTGGAGGATTCATTAGTTTCTCTTTCTATAAAATGATAGTGTTGTACTAGATAATTTCAGCTTTGAAAATCTATGATTTTAAATTGAAGGCAGAGTGTTCCAGTGGGTTACCACAAAGCCAATCGGGCCAATTCCCAAGGTATCTAGCTCCAGGCAGACTTCCCACAGGCAGAAGGCCACTGCTGATCTCACCTTTCTTCTCATCTCCTCCTCACTTTCCAATCCTTTTTTAAATCCTTTTCAAAGGGAAAATTTCTCACACTCCCTCCTTCTTTCCCCCACCCCTGTTCCTTCAAATCCATCTCCAAATGATTGTCAACAGCTCTCAGCTGTAATTCTGCCTTTCCTTTGTACTTCCTAGATGTCTCTGTGGGTAAATCATTTTGCCTTTTTTTCCTCTGTCTTCATCTAAGAGATGGACAGATAGATAAAATGTTTATTAAGGGCTTACTCAATGCCAGGGACTGATGTAGCACTGAGGATACAAGAATAAACAAGCAAGACAGTCTTTGCCCTCAAGGAGCTCACATTCTAATGGGAGGAGACAACACACAAAGGTGAAAGGGGATGGAATAAGGCCTTGTTTCAATGTGGTGAAGAGATGGCAGAGAAGTGACTCAGAAGCCTAGATCTTGGCAAATTAAAGCAAAAGCTCACTTATGAGACCAAGGGAATCCAGGGTCGAAGTCCAGGGGTCTGATGGGGAAAGAGATAGGATGATGACAAGAGCAGAAAGGATGGAGAAAGGGGAAGGAGAAGGGAACAAGCATTTATTAGGTGCCTACTATGTGCCAAACACTTTACAAATATTATCTCATTTGTTCCTCACAAAAATCTTGGGAGGTATTATCATTATCTCCATTTTACAGTTGAGGAAACTGAAGCAGACAGAGGTTAAGGGGCTTTTCCAGGGTCATATAGATAGGCTGAACCTGAACTCAGATCCTTTTGACCCCAGGCCTAGTGCTCTATCCGCTAGACCACCTAGCTGGTGAAGAGAACTTGTTAGCAGTGTAATAAGAATGCATGTGTTTGAAAGGCAGAAGGGATGTGGGCAGTGGTTATTGTCAATGTCCTTACTAATACAATATTTGACTACTGATTTTGTTTTTAGCTCCAGAAATACCCATTATTGATCAGGCTTATTCCAAACTTAGCAACAGCATCACTGTGGAATGGGCACCTGTGCCAGGGGCTACCAGTTATCTCCTCACAGCCCAAGATGGAGAGTCCTTCATCGAAACAACAGTCACCAATTCACCAGGCACAGTGTCAGGCCTGAAGGCAGCTACCATGTACAAAATCACCATCAGATCAGTCAATGCTGGAGGAAGAAGCCAGGCATCACCTCCCAAGAAGGCAAAGACAGGTAGCTATTCAATCCCTGGGCAATTTAAATCAGTAAAAGAACATGAACTTGCTTGAGAATTGGTATAACCAATATGCATTAAAATTTGGTACAGAATGAGTGTCTGAGGTCCAGGGCACAGAAGAATTATGAGAAATAGTACTGCTTGTGAAGTTGGATGTATTTGAGGAAAAATGTAACTTAAATGTCAAATGTGATTATCCAAAATCAGGCCATTACGGGGCAGAGAGGCTTTCTTGAAAAGTATTAGATTACTTAAATTAGGGAAATATTTTTAGATGGTTCGAGGAAGACCTGGGGTCCAATCCTACTTCTGATACAAAGCTACACCACCCATCGAAGTCCACTTAAACTCCATGTGACTCTTGTAACTTCCTGACACTTATCTACCAAATCAGAGAAGGTTGTAATCTTCTTCAACTGGCAAAATCACTTCCCATACTAGAAGTTACCTGTGCCTAATGAAATCACTGATCCTTCCCACATATCCAAATCCCCAAAGACCACTGGTGAATACAGCACAGGTGGGTGGGATTTGGTAGCAGTTTGACATATATTGAAATACATGCCAAGATTTACTCTTATTTGGCTTTTGGGTGGCAACATTAATTACTAAATATAAATGTGTACAAGGGCACCTTGATATGGAATCGAGAAGTTTTGTCTAAGTCAAATTATATTTTCCCACTGACTTACATTTAAACTCTATTGTTGTTCAGTCATTTTTTCAGTCCTATCTGACTCTTCCTGTCCCTATTTGGGGTTTTCTTGGCCAAGATCCTGAAAGTAGCTTGCCATTTCCTTCTCCAGCTCACTTTACAGATGAAGAACTGAGGCAAACAGGATTAAGTGACTTGGCCAGCATCACAGAGCTAGTAAGTGTCTGAGGCCAGATTGGAAGATGAGTCTTCCTGACTTTAGGCCTGGCACTCTATCCATTGTGCCACCCTTCAAATTCCTTAGATCGTTCAATTTTCATCTCTGATTCATCTACAACTGTTAGAGGTTCCTAACACTTATAATTTCTCTCCTACCAGGAACTCAGTAGAGTAGACAGTGACTTGTAAGCAAATGCCTCAAAATACTGGGGGAGTCACTATTTGAAAGAACCCTCCTATGAATCTTTTTGTAAAGCAAAGACTTCTTTGGCAATATAAATGACAATCCCACATTTACTTGCTTTTTAATTTTAAGTTTGTATTGTGCTACATTTGGTTTTTCTGAAGCAATTTGCATGTGTAGGTCTCAAAGGACAGTGAATTCTTTTCTACCTTTTCAGTCTTGGCTGCCCCCGTCTTGGATGTGAGTTCCCCCAGTTCTGACTCGATCCTGGTACGGTGGGAAGCTGTGTCCATGGCAGTCAGATTCTCTGTGTCCATCATGCGTTCCAATGGCTTGGGTAGGATGTGGAAAGAGAATACCACCAATACCTCTTTGACCTTCACCAGTTTAGATGCAGGAACGCTTTATACCATAAAGGCATATGCCTGGAATGCTAATGGGATCCCTGGAGATGATTCTACTTATAATCAGAGAACAAGTAAGCCCTTTAAAGAAATATCATTTAGCTCAGCGTAATGCAACTAGTAATTTCTAAGAACTGCTAAAAGAGAATATGAAGACCCACATGTAATACAAACCACCCTGGCCCCCACCACCTGAAGGCCAGGCAGGTTATATTCCACCCTAGCCCCAGATTTCCCTGTACCCTTAAGAGGGTTGGGGGGGGGTAGAGAGGGACCTAAGGTCTCTGCACATGGCTCCAGCCCTCATGGATAGTGTTCCACCAGGTAGAGAGAGGGTGCTCCCAGTTTCATTAGCCACTAACAGTCAGATTAGCTTTTATAAAGAAATATTTACTTCTAAAGGTATAATGATAAACATAAAAACTTACTCCCCCAGCATATGGGAGGCATAATCTTCCTCTCTCCATTGCACCACCTCAGTTTCTGGGGAGGGGAAGAAGATTAAGTTCATGGCTTAGATCAGTTCTTATAGAGCAAAGTTCCAAGTCCAAAACCGCCCTGGGACTTAAGTCCTAGGCACCCTGGCTACTCAGTTCTTCCATGCCTGGCTGGCTGCACTATCCCACCTACAATACTGGCTCCAAGTCTCCATGGCTTGACTTCCCAGTTCCATAGGGTTCACCTCCAACCCCTAAAACTGAGGAGGCCAAAAACATAGAATAGACCAAACCTCCCCAGGCTGCTTTCTCAGAGCTGGGGTAAAAGAGAGAGAACAGGGGAAGGAGAATCCTTCCCTTCTCCCTAGTTTAGTTCATAGTGCCCACGCTATGATTAAACTGGGATCTTCACCCTCGGGACTCAGTAGATAAGGTTTTTAAATCTAATTTTAAAGGCTCAGGCAGCCAATCACAGAAAGCTACCTCTACCCGTATGGTAGGGAATGCAGCAGTCTCCACATTAGGCACACGGGGCATGCTCAGAAAGCCCTTCAAGGGCATCTCTGTTTTAGGAGAATTAGACATGCCCAGACCAGCCTGGGTTATACCTGTTACCACTGGATCTATTCATTTATTATCACATGATCAGCATTCTCGGAGGTTCCTTGTAAGTTTTTAAATGGTTATTGAATGTGATAAGAAAGGTTGTTTTGAATAGACATGGCCTATCACCAATCCTATCTATAACTTTTTCAAATGTACCACACATCCAATATCACACAGCGAAGGATGGTGTTGTTCTAGGAAGCCAACAGCAATTGTGAAGTTAAAATTCAGTACAAACACACACACACACACACACACACACACACACAAAGATGGTTTGATATAGATGTTTTGATTCAGAATAAGAGATTCTTTGTGGGCATGAGGATGAAGATCTAATAAAATATTGTTATTTTTAAAGGAGTTCATTCTTTATTTCCCATTTCATTTTTTTATATTGTCAGGGGAAAAAAGCACGAGTTATACAATTTTTCCTATAGGACAGCTGGGACTATTGAAAACTCTAAAACACTTTAGGAAGTCAAAAATATGCATTTATAGTCTATATAAAAGTGACTTTCAGCAACTGCGAAGTTACATGCCTTGCTTTACAAGCATCAAAACAAAGAGGAGGCATGTGTGTTTTGCAGCCTTCTGATGTTTGTTTCTGTCATTTGGTAGCCATCTGGTGGTGCTTTAGGTTGCTTAGGGGAAGAGAAGCTGCTGGCTAGGGCAGGGCTTCTTAAACTTTTTCCACTCAAGGCCCCTTTTCCTGTTTTGGCAGCAGTCATTGGCCTGAGGGCATGTGCAGTGCAAAGTACACATGCTTTGTGTCTAGAGCCAAAGCTGCAGGGAAGTTGCCTGATTGCAACACAGGAAAGTGCTGTCAGAAACACCTTGGATTCAGTATGCATTTGATTTTTAATTAATTTTTGGTTGTTTCATGTTCAGAAACCTTTTACTGTTGCCAAATTGTCTGCAACCCCATGGAGTCGCAAAACACAGTTTAAGAAGCGCTGCCAAGGGAACTTAAAAATTAATTCTTTTGATTGAAGGCTGGCCATTGGGTCAAAATGATAAGTACCTCCTTGTGTTGCTTCAGGACTGAGGCTAGGATCTTCATCAATATCATCTCCAGAGAAAAATTGAAATACTCACATAATCTTTGTGTAGGAGAGCAATAAATACAGATCTTGCAGACATTTTAGTCTGAACCTATTATTTTATAGATGACAAAATTGACTCCCAGAGAGGTAAAATAATTTATCCAAGAGCACTCCTCTAGTTAATAGCAGATCTCAGGAAACCTGAGTTCCAGTTTTTGGCAATTGTCAGAGATTCCTAAATACTTAAAATGTTTTCTTCAACTTCTAGTATCTCTGTGGAGTAGTAAGTAATCTTTAAACAAATCTACTACTCAATAATAGCTTATACTTGTACCACACTTTCAGTTTGTAAAATAACTTGCACGACTATCATTTAATTTGATGTTTCCAACAATCCTGACAGATGATTAGGGTAGATGCTACAGGATCCATTTTACAAATGAGGAATCAGAAGTTATGTGACTTACCCTCTGTCCCACGTCAAGGTAAATTTTTGCTGAATTCAGATACCTGTGGAGGGAAATAATCTTCAATTCCTGAATATATATATATATATATATATATACATATATATATATATATACATATATATATATATATGTATATATATATATATATATATTTTAAGACTGTTGTTGTTCAGTTGTGTCCAACTCAGTGATCCCATTTTTGGTTTTCTTGGCAAAGATACCTGAGTGGTTTAACATTTCCTTCTCCAGGTCATTTTGCAGATGAGGAAACTGAGGCAAACAGGGTTAAGTGACTTATCCAGGGTCACACAGCTAGGCTGAGTCCAGATTTAAACTCACAAAGATGAGTCTTCCTGACCTCAGGCATGCATTTTATCCACTGCTCCACCTAGCTGCCCATTTTTTAAGACTAGGTCTCCCCATTTTACCCAGGGGAGGAACTCAGGGGTTAGTAATCCTAATCAGGATTAGGCCTGATTACACTACTGATTAGCACAGGACCTTTGACCTACTCCATTTCTGACCTGGACCAACTTAGGCCTCTTTAGACAACCTAGTGGCCACCTGCTCTCAAGGATTCACCATTATCAAAGTCACTGTGATCACCTGATCATCAGAGTCTACTATAGCTCAGAACCCCAAGCTCAAGAGATCCACCATCCTCTGCTCTCCTAGTAGTAGGAGAACAGGCCTGTACCACCACACTTGGACTAGGTCCTGAAATTCTACTAAATCTTACCTTGACTCTTTCTGGAATGTGAAACATCTTAACAAATTGTTTCTCAAAAAAACCCTCTAGGTCCTCATGCCCCAGCAGACATCCAAGTCTCTTTTGATAGCGGGACGTGGAAGGCAACTGTTTCATGGATGCCAACGGAAGGAGCTTTCAGTTATACTGTGACAGCCTCCAGTGAGGCTTCAAAGCTGAATTGTAGTACAGCATCTACTTCCTGCACTATCTCTGCTCTCCAGTGCGGAACTGAGTATGCCCTTTCCATTTTAGCAAGTAATGATGCTGGGTCTAGTCACTCAACAGCAACAGTGAACTTAAAGACTGGTATGTAAAACATGTCATGTTCATCATGGGATTAATGGGTCAAGGTGCCAATAATGCTCCTCCAAAGACCTTCAGCACCAAGGCCCCTCTGAGTGCACTAGAAGAAGCAATTTATGAAATAGGGGCCTGACTATCATTAGAACATAAACCCCATTCTAAAGGGCACAAAGTGGAGGGATATAGGGAACAAGGGAGAGTTTTGGCAAAATTGAAAAATATGCCTGGCAAATGCTGGAAACTCTGCCCAAGCTTTAGCTACACATAGTCTTGATTCTACCAATAACAGCCAATTATTCATAGGATCATCTATTTAGAGGTTGAAGGAATCTCACCAGCTATTTAGTCCACTCCTTTCATTTTACAGATGAGGAAACTGAGGCACAGGTAGTAAGTGGCAAAGAAGATGGGATTTAAACTAAGGTCCTGACACCAGAGACAATGTTCCTTCCTCCTTGCTACAGAATCCAGGATGTCTAGAACTGATACAAGAATGATTTCCTAATTAAAAGTGGGCTCTGCATCGCAGAATTTCAGGGTTGGAGGGGCTCTCCTGTTTGAAAAGGAATTCTCTTGATAGCCTACCCAATAAGTCATCTTATCTTAGCTTGAAGACTTCTAGTGAAGGAAAAACCTGCTATCTTCCAAGGCAACTTGTACTTTGGGATAGCTCTAACCATTAGGGAATGAAGTCCTAAAGTACATATTGGAATATTTCTATATTTTTACTTTTAAAAGTTTTTTTAAATTACTTTTTGTACAAATAAAAATGAATACCAAAAGCCTACTCTGATGTTTCATAATGGCATGGAAGTTATCCTGAGTTCTTAAAGGCTGTATCAGTGGTATAAATAGGAAGAAAATGATATCCTTAAAAAAAAAGTTAGAATTAAAATCGTCTGGGGATTTAAAAGGGCAAAACTTCAGTTGCTTGGAAAATTCATTCACCCAGGACATTTTATTCTCTGATGATGCTGTATAATGAGGCATTACTAAAACCCAGACATAACAACAAACATTAGCTACTTCTATTTCCAATGTGGTTTGCTATGAATTATTTACTAGAAATTCTCATAACATTAAAAAAAATACATCACTTCTCCTGATTACCACCGAGTAACATTTATCATACTAGAGCTCCTGTCTGTCCATTGTGGATAGTATCTTACCTTCCTTCCTAAGATTCATTCCAGAAGCTACAGAAAATATGTCATACCAACTGCTGCCTGTTGTGCAACCTGGAAACCAGAAAGTAGGAATTTTTTCCTTATCTGGAGACTCTTTATACAGGCATAATTTCTTTAAAAAGTATGACAGTAATGAAATAGCTGCCCATTCCACATCCTTCTTCTTTATACACAGTCTGGATTTGCCTCACCTTTGGTACAGGCAAACTCCAATACAACAAGGGCAGCTAGGTGGCACAGTGGATAGAGCACTGGCCCTGAAGTCAGGAGGACCTGAGTTCAAATTCGGCTTCAGACCAAACACTTGACACTAGCTGTGTGACCCTGGGCATGTTACTTAAATTGCCTAAATTAAAAATGCCTTAAAAAAAAGTAAATGTTGGGTCAGCCAGGTGGCACAGTGGATAGAGCACTGGCCCTGAAGTCAGGAGGACCTGAGTTCAAATCCAGCCTCAGACCAAACACTTGACATTTACTAGTTGCGTGACCTTGGGCAAGTCACTTAGCTCCAATTGCCTTAAAAAAAATCCAATCCAATAAATCAAATCAAATCAAATTCAGCAACTAAGCTGGAGAGTATCCAGAGAAGAGCAACCAGTTTGATGAAGAGTCTTGAGCTCATGTAACATTAAGATAAGTTGAAGGGACTAGAAATGTTTTACCTGGAGAAGACTTGAGGGGAAGAGGGAGGGTTGTGGTAGCTGTGTTCAAGTATCTAAAGGGTTGTCATTTGGAAGAAGGTTTAGATTTGTTCTAATTTGGCCCAGAGGACAGAATCACCAAACCCCACCAAAAAACCAAAACAAAACAAATTAACTAGGAGCAATGAGTAGAAGTTACAAAAAAAATAAACTGAGGCTTGAAGTAAAAATACAATTAGAGCCATCTAAAAATTTGACTGCACTGGGGGTCCCCCTTACTAGAGGTCTTGAAGCAAAGGCCGGACCACCTCTCAGGCATGCCGTATGAGATGAATTAAATGTCTTTCAAAGTCATTTCCAATTCTGAGGTTTTTATTCTGATTCAGTAGGGTGGCCCCAAAAGTCTTTGAGCTATTGAAGCTGAAAACCATCCTGAGACTTTTGGGACACCCAGTGTTATATTGAAAGCACTTTGTTGCTGTCGTATAGTCATTTCAGAATCTTCATGACTCTATTTGGGGTTTTCTTGGCAGAGATACTGGAGTGATTATTGATTTCCTTCTCCAGCTCATTTCACAGACGAGGAAACTGAGGTTAAACAGAGTTAAGTAACTTGCCCAGAGTTACACAGCTAATAAGTGTCTGAGGTCAAATCTGAACTCAGGTCTTTCTGACTCCAGCCTGGTGCTCTATCCACTGCACCACCTAGCTGCCCCATTGAAAGCACTAGGGGATACAAAAGTAGATAAGGTGAAGTCTTATTCAGCCTGAACTCTCCTATCTTTAGACCTTTGCCTCCCTGCCTGGAAAGGACTCCTCTGCCTCAGCTTTCTGTTGAAGTCCAGCCCTCCTTTTAAGACCCAACTCAGGCACCTCCTGATCCTCAGAGCCTTCCCTGATGCTTCAGTCTCCCCAGGCAGAGACCTCTCCTTCCGAGAACTACTCACAGCACTTGGTTTAAACCTCTTTTGCCTGTACCTACCACTCTCCATTGTACTTATTTCACTTTGTCTTAAAATAGTTATTTGAGCATGTGTATCCTCCCTCCTCCTTCAACCTATACACACACACCACTGGATTGCAAGTTCCTTAAATGCGCATTATTAATAGTGTCTATCTTCACACACCCAGCACCTTGCATGCCGTAAATACTTAATAAATGTTTGTTGAATTAATGCTTTCATTGCTATGAAAATAACAAAAGTCCCATTTATTTCAAGTGATATTTGATGTACCTCCCCCCACCAAACAAAAAAAATCTGTATAGTTCATTGGCTTTCACTGTACTAGGTCTTGAAATTCAACTGTTGGTCCCTCAGGAATCTCTTCTAATACTGATTTACAATACACTGCCAGTCTTTACAACACAATTTACTAAACCTGGTCTGTAATAGAATTCAAACAGTTGCTATCTTGAATTGCTCGGAAGTCCTATGCCATGGCAAAGAAACAGATAAAATCTCTCTGTCTTTAAATGTTTTCCTAGTTGCTTGTGCACCCAGAAGCATCTCAATCCAAGAAGACAATCCTGGTCACCTGTCTGTCTCATGGTCTGATGTTGAATTTGGAGATTACTATGTGGCTTTTGTGAAAAGCGATGATGGTTTGGAGGTGCATTGTAACACATCATTGACCCGATGCAGTTTCCCATCTGATTGTGGCTTCACATACTTCATTAGTGTCTTTGCCTACAATGCGGCAGGGCAGAGCCCTTTGGGTGATGTGTTCAACTACACAACAGGTAAGCAGCATGGGATACCTACCCAGGGGGGTGAGGATTCACCAGACATGAGAACACCACAGATCATTCATTTCCCTGTAGAATTCACTTAGAGTTACTCAATGGAGTTGAATAAAGAGTGGAAAATCTGACCATCAGTGATATTGCTAGCCCCCTTGCCTGATCCCATAATAAGCATCAGGTGATGGAAATCTCCAATTCACCTCAGTGGTAATGTGTGCCATTCAACACCAAAATGTCCACAGGGGAAATACCAAGCTTTTTATGGCTCTCAGAAATGTGGTTACTTCTATCCTCTAGCTCCACTTCTTTTTGGGGGAGGCTTGTATTAGTATAGGTTGTGTGACCTGTATTGATTTATCCAATTAGTTTCTTGGCTCATCTCCTAACCCCTGGGAAAACTCCACATTCTTCTCTTTGGGCTGCATTTCAACAAAGTCATTTTAGCATAGTAGAGTGGGACTGATCACATAAACACGGTTTCTCTGTATATTGCTCCTTACTCATAGAAGAAAAGAAATAAAATAAAACATGTCAAAACATCTGCCATGCAGGAAGTAAGTCTGCAACTTTAGTCAGACCAATGCCATACACATGCCCCAAACCCCTGAGTTCCCAGAAAATCATTAAATTGCTCACATTCAGACTTCTTCATCAATCATCCCCCTCAGGACCAAGTAGGAATTCCCAGTGCTTTCCCACTCATCACTTTCCAGAGAATCAATGTCTAGTCAGTTGAGGGAACTCAGGATCCTTGGGCATTGATGCCTCCTCCAGGTGTTTTTTTCCACTCATCATTCTGTTAGTGGCTAGAACCTCTGATGCTTCCCTCCAACAGCTTCTCCGCATGGGCTGTTGGACCCCTCATAGCTACCTTTACAGCATCATCTTTCACTATGTGTTCTAGAAAACTGGACCACTAATCCACCCCTGAACACACTCTGGCCTTTCCTCCTATGTCTTGATTTTCAATTTTTTTTGCACCTTTCCCACCCAACCACATCTCCCATGATGAAATCCTGGCAATCCTGAAAGGTCAGATTAAATGCCATCTCCTCCTTGAAGCCTTTCCTGGTCCCTCCTACCAGAAATGTTCACATAGTACATTATATGTCTCCTTCTATACTGATTACTTTCTACGTTACATAGAATTTTTTTTGTGTGCATGTCTCATCTTTCCATGAAAAAGCTTCTTAAAGGCAGGGACAATGTCTTGTTCATCTTTGTAACCCCTACAGTGTTTAACATGATATCTTGCACACAAGTTACTTGATACCTTTTGAAATGAAGTAACCTAATGAGACAATCAGGGCTGTAGTCATTCAAAGAAGAAATCAATATGTGCTGGAGCAATCAGGGAAAGTCTTATGGAGAAGATAAGTTCTGAGCTTGACCTTGATGGGTCAGTAAGTTCGGTAAAGATTGAAAGAATAGGTTTTCTAGGGAAATTCTGGACTTTTTCATGGGCAGAGCCACAGAACTTGATTTTTACCAGAAATCTTCAATGAAGGTCTGTAGGGTTTTCCCAGGATCTGTTTATACAATAATACCTTCTTTAATTTTGTCTGGCCTGACATTTGGAGGTGATGATGGGGCTAAAAAAAGGAGAAAGAGGTTAATATTCCCTCTGCCACAGAAAAAACAAGTTTATGAAATCTGGCCAATGGCTTTTGGGACAAAGAATTGGATTTATTTTTTTGGATATTTATGATATCTTATTGAGTTCAGTATATCCCAGGTATCATTTCCATTTTATGGAGGGTAAAACAAAGACCACATAATGTATCATTGGCAGAGACAGAAAGATAAACTCAATCTTGTGATTCCTCCTTCCACTCTAGCATAACATTTCACACTGACCATCATTGCTCATGGCAAATGTTACTGACTGTCACTTTCTGTGCTTATTCCCTTTAGCTCCTTGCTGTCCTAGTGACATTAAACCAGTGTTTGTCTCCAGTGATACCGCTGAGCTTGTCTGGTCTCCTGTCCGTGGTGCTGAAATGTATGAAACAAAAGCTGTTGATGGGAACCATGTGATTGAGTGCAATGACACTGCTAGTGCCTGCACCCTTTCTGCCCTGCAGTGTGACACTGTGTATAATGTCACTGTGTATTCTTTCAGTGGAATCAGGGGGAGCAATATATCTTGTGCTCCCCAGTGTGTGACAACAGGTACGGTTAGAGCTTCTATTCCAAACCTTGTTGTAGTTTCAAAGCAGAGACAGATCATCATTGACCCATATAAATCAGGAACCAGCAAGTTTTTTTTAAAATAATGTCTATGTGCAAAATGATGCCGATCAGTGCAGATGATGGTGGTGATTATGATTATTTCGATAATTCAGGAATCTGTGATTTTGTCTCTGTTGGTGTATCCTTCACAGATCCAGCTCAAGACCCTTTTAAGATATAGTAGATGGCTTTTGAGAGTTCATGTGGGAAAAAAAAATATTCATCGCCCTATGGTCATCTTATTGATGCACATCTCTAAACTTAAATAGGATGGTAGTCTGATGACAGACATACAGTCTGACACTTAGCTCTTATGCAGGGTCTTTCTAACTTTGTAGGTCTAGACAGAATTTGTGCTATTGCTGGCATAGCCTTTGAGATCCCAGAATCACTTCCATGCCTCAACAAAGGCATTGAGTGAACTAATAAAAATAATGATGATAATGACAGCTGGCATTTTTCTTCAACTTTAAGGTTTACAAAATGATTTACATACATAATCTCACTTGGTGCTCCCAACAGAGGTAGAACTTAGACTTAGTATCAGAGGGATAAAAGGGAAAGAAATTCAATTCAATTAATTGAACTTTTATTAAGGATCTACTGCAAGGCCCTGTGCTAAATGCTAGAAGAGAAATAAAGGAAGAGCAGAAGAAGGGAGGTATAAAAGGAAGAAAGGCAAATAAGACAAAGAGGAAGAAGAATGTGGCTATGGGGGAGGGTAAAAAGTGGCATCAGTAATTGACATGAATGCTACTCAGGGCTACCCATGTCATTCACAAGTTGCCTAACTCAATTTTAACACCATGAAGGCTAAAACTTCAAGCTTTTTTTTTTTAGGCAATTGGGGTTAAGTGACTTGCTAAGGGTCACACAGCTAGTAAGTGTCAAGTGTTTGGTCTGAGGCCAGATTTGAACTCAGGTCCTCCTGACTTCAGGGCCAGTGCTCTATCCACTGTGCCATCTAGCTGCCCCAAACTTTAAACTTTTAAGTGACCTAAAGGTTGGATTTTTTAGGGGACAGGAGAAGAGGGTCCAAGATGCTCCTAAATTTTCAAGCTAGTACAATTCTACATAAACCAAATGCTACGGTCTCAAGCTTAACATTTTAATACCTGGATGTGATCTCATTACCTAAGTATTACCTACCCTACAGTGGTACTGTCTACACTCACCATACACCATCATTTGCAGTAGGTGTGGTTTGTAGTACTTGCCCCAGAAAAATGTCTTGATCTGTTTTGTCATATGTTGGTTAAGTAAATAAATATATAAATAAATCCCTCTTTCTCAGCTCCTTGCAGCCCAGAAATAAAAAATGTGTCCAAGGACACTTTCCCCATCATTAATGTGCACTGGCAAGCCAATAATGATAAAGCCACTTATATAGTAACTGCCAAAGGGGAGTCTGGGCTCTACCACTGCACAAGCTCTGGAGAGTTCTGCACGATAGCTGACCTGCCCTGTGGATCCTTTTTCTCCATCAGTGCTGTGGCACAAACAGAAGCAGGACAGAGTTTGCCAAGCTACAGTGTGCCTTTAGAAACAGGTATGTTAGCAAAAATCAACTTGAATGTTGAATTTGGTAGAAATTATGATTTGTTTTAAGATTTGTATTGTTGCTGTCATTTACCATTCTTAATACCATACACAAGAATGAGCTGTGGGAAATGAGGCATAAGTAACTCAGAAAACATTTCAAGAACCCTATTCTTTCAATGGAAAAATGATTTTTAATTAGTAAATGTATTATATACAATAAACTCTTACTAATACAAATGGGTATTAGAGGAGTATATGTATAATTGAAATTCCCCTATTTTAGCCAATAATTCTTGTCTTTTCTTTCCCCACACATTTTAAAAGATCTACTATTAAGTAGTAAAGTGGAATGATTCTAGTTTCCACTCCTCTGCCCTACCCTTACCCATCTTCTTTCTAGAAGTGTCAACCAGTCATAAAATGCCTGAAAAAGCAACAGAATAAGGATGGGGGGAAGAAATCAAAGCTTCCATAAGTTCCCAAATAACTGACAGCTGTCTATAAGTGTTTATAATGTCTATAAATATCTTAAGAGGCTAAGAGAATCTTAAATTATGACAATGAACTGCATAATTTGTTGCCATTTTTAGTGGGAAAAATTAATATGTATGTGTATAAGTTTGTATGTATATTTGTATATAGTTGTAAGGTGTTACATGAAGGAAAGTCTAATTAATCAAACAAGTCAAGAAACTTGGTAAAGGTCCCCTTCATTAGAAAAAGTTGTTTTTGTACTGTCTTTTTTGGCTATAACTACTATGGATGGATAGGTACATCAGAGGATATGAAAAAGAAACACATGTTGACTAGCCAATTTTAAAATTCAGGATATATAATTAAATACAATAAGCATTTATTAACCTATTATATGTAAAACACTGTGCTAGGCATTGGAAGTACAAAGGTAAAAACAAAACCATCCATGTCCTCAGGGAGTTTATATCTTTTTAGAGAAAGATTTGTTCATAGTTCAATAAACGCAATACATAGTATTGCAACACAAAGTAAATGAAAGATATGGAGGAAAATACTAGCAACTGCTGAGATTAGGCAAGGCTTCAGGTAGCAAGGGAGAACTGAGCTGAGCCTTGAAAGGTTCTAGGAATTACAAAAGGCAGAAGTAGATACAGAACATTCTAGGAATGGGAGTCAGCCTATGCAAATTCATGAAAGCAGGAGATAGGATGTCATGTATAGGGAAGAGAAAGTGTGCCAGATTGGATGGAACATAAAATATGTGAGTAAAGTGAAATCAGTGTGGGAAAATAGGTTGGGGCCAGTGCATGAAACAGGAGCCTAGAAATGGGATTGGGCAAGGTCAAACCCATTTTGGGGGAATGTCAATTTGGTGGTCATACAAATGATGAATTGGAGAGGACAGAAACTGAAAACTGAAAGATTAGGAGGCTGTTTCAATAATCCAGGAGAGAGAGGATAAAGGGTTAAGCTAAAGTGGTGGCAATGTGAATAGAGAAAGGGATAGATGCAAAAGATGTTGGAAAGATACAATCTACAAGACTTGGTAATTGATTTTTTCTTGGTTGGGAAAGCTGTGGTTAAGGAACCAGAAGAGTTTCTGAAATTTCAAACCAAGGATACTGGAAGGCTGGAGGTGTCCTCAATAGAAATAGGGGAGCTAGGGGAAGAGATGAGTTCGAGGAGAGAGATGATGAAATCTGTTTGGGACATTTTGAGTTTCAGATACATAACAAAGCATGAGCCTAATCTCTGACCATTTTAAAGATGATAACTTAATGGACATGAAATCAAGTTATTCTCTCTTTGTGTTTCATTCTGAAGTACCTTGTTGCCCAGCAGACCTGAGAGTAATTCAAGTCACCCAGTCTGTAACCAATGTAAGCTGGACCGTTGGGACTGGGGCACAAACCTATGTGACAATTTTAGAGTCTCATAAAGGACAGTCCAAGTGTCATACTCTGCAAAATCACTGTATCCTGGGATGCATCAGATGTGGCACCAATTATACGGTGGCTCTGAAAGCTATTAGTGCTACAGGACTGGCTGCTTTTTGTACCTACCAAGATTATTCTTCCAGTAAGTATTTGCTAAAATTTGGCAGGAAATTTCATTTGAATCAATGAGGAACCGATCTGTTCATTCATTCAATAAGCATTTACCATATAGCTATTATGTGCCAGGCGCTGGAGATCAAAAAATAAAAGTGAAATAATCCCTGGCTCCAAGGAACTTTGTTCTATTAGAGGGAAACAAGATGTACAAATATAAGTATATGCACTATATGTATATGTGTGTGCATGTGTGTGTGTATATGCATATATAGCACATATATGTACATATACATATGGGGAGGGAGAAACCCCTTTTTAATTATACATGTATTTATAATGCATATATAAATATATACATCTCTTTCTATCATATGCACTTGCATTGTAAATTAATATTTTTAAAAATATCTACTCTTCTGTTTGTTATTTTTAATCCTAGGGTCTGAAGCTTCAAAGGCATTCTGTTGGAAATTAATAAATTAATTGCCCAGGAAATGCCTATACATTTTTCTCCTGAAGGAAAGTATTTTAATAATACATAAGTCCATGAAGCACAAACAATAAAAAATATAACACTAGAAGGAACCTTACACTAAGTCATGCAGTCCAATCTCTTCACTTTTCAGATGAGGAAACAAGGTTCAGGGAGATTAAAGTCTTTTCATTGCCCCCTCATGAAAGCTCTAGCTTCTTTCAAAGCTCAGCACTATCCCTCTTGAAATAATTCTGCACTACTTTGTGTTTACTTACTCACGTACATGCTTTATGCCTCTATCCTATCAATAAAATGTCAACTGTTTGATAGCAGGAACTCTTTCATTTTTATCTTTCTCTTTCTAGTACCTAACACAGTGCAGAGTGGAATCACTTGCTAAATGGTTGTTGAAATGAATTGAATTAAGTGGAAGCTAGGTAGTGAAGTGGATAAAGGGCCTGGAATCAGGAAGATCTAAGTGCAAATCCAGCCTCAGACACTTCCTGTGTGACCCCGTCACTTAACCTCTGTTTGCCTCAGTTTCCTCAACTGTAAAATGAGGATAATAATAGCACCTATCTCCCAATCTGGTTGTAAAGCTCAAACGAGATAATAATTATAAAGTCCTTAGCATGGTGTCTGGTACACAGTAGGCGCTATACGTAAATGCTTATTCTTTTCTCTTCTCCTTCCACCTTGATAGTAAGTGGCAGAGCTGATAAAGATTGAGACACGAATGCTCTCACTCCAAGCCCACAACCGTGCTGCCGACCGATGTAGCATAAACTGTACTTCTTGTGAGATTTAGCTGCTCTACCCTGGTGGCTACTTTTCAGAAGTTATATTTTATCTCATGGGTTGGCAAAGGTCATGTAGACGTTAAATGGGTAGACAACTTCTGTTTTCTTAAAAAAAAAAAGAAGAATTTTGATACAGACTTTACCTTTCAGGTGCCTGCTGCCCTTTGGGGGTGAAATTATATCGATTGGGCAATAATGGTCTTCAGATCTGCTGGCAAGCCTCTGTGAGGTCTGCAAACTACAGGGCAGAACTTTATGGATCTAAAGGTGTTTTCACTTGTACCCCAACCTCTGCACTTAGTTACTGTGACATCACTGAGATACCCTGTGGGGATGTGTATACAGTCATGGTGTCTCCAGTTGATGAAATGGGATCAAAACTTACCTTCTGCCCCCAAAAAATATATTCAGGTAAACTGAGACCTCGCCCATGTCATTCCTGTAAGCCAGGATTCATTGAGACCAAATTTATTTGCTATTTGGAAAGGTTGTGAATAGGCTAGAATAATAATAACTGCTATTTATAAAGCACTTTAAGGCTTACAAAGGCATTTATGTGAATATTTCTTGTGAACTTCACAATTACCGGAGGAGGTAAGTAGTAGGTGTTAGGTCTGTTCTGGTTAGGTCCAAGACTGGAGGTGCGATTGCATTCATATAGAGAACTTCCAAGTGAAGAAACTCCCTCCTCCCAATGCAAGTCAGCAACTTGTATCTTAGGGAGTTGCCCAGGGCATTGAGAAGTTAAGTCACTTTCCCAGGGTCTCATATAGCCAATCTATGTCAGAAGTGGAACTTGAACCCAGGTCTTCCAAGCTCTGTGGCCCACTCGATAGCCATTGTACCACACTACCTGTCTTGGTTTAGAGAAATCCAGTGCCTTGCTCATTGCCTCACCTCTAGCAAGCATCAGAGGTAGGATCTACACCCAGGTCTCTGGGACTCCAGATCCAGAACTCTATCCACCATGAAGCACTGCTTTTCAGTTTCTTTCAATTTTGCCTTGATAAAAAGAGTGTAAATTTCAAGTAAGCCTGTTTTGGCAGTCAATTATTTCCAACCATTTTGGTGTCTCAATACCCTCTCTCTATTTAATTTTGTGATACCCCTCCCCCTTCCCTTACTCACCCATGCCCTAAATGGGCTATTTGGAATAGCAAATTACAATTCACTTTGTTTTCAAATTGGGTGAATGATTTTTATATACCCTCAGAGTACTTATGGGAGATGGGGATAGGGAGAATAGGCCTGGGGGAGGGAAAAGATAGATTTCAAAACAGGGTGGTCAGTGATCATAGATTCTGGGGATTGACAAGTTTGAATCTCCCTCTATGTCTAGCACAGATCCCTGCATATGACTTAATAATTCTTCATTGATTGAATGAAGGAACTACCATTCTCTCTGGAGATGCCAGAAAAAAAAAGAGAAAAACTCACTAACCCTTCCCTCCAACCATATCTACAGTCTTACCCAGGAGACTTTTATATGCTTTTCATCTATTTTTAAACAGAAAAATAAAAACACTTGAACTTTGAGATGAACATAAGAACAGAAACAAAATTCAAGGGATTAAGATAATTCATGTAATGAATTAGGGTCAAGTGCTCTTGGAAAATCACTTTGCCCTAGATTTCTCTGTGTGTAGCTACTGTCATTCACACAGCTTATGTCTTACTCCCAGGGCAAGATAGCTGAGAGCATCATTCCTGAGAAGGGAACAAGGGATAGGTGCATGGCCAGATGAAGGAGACAGGTTAAGAAAAGGTGTTTAAAATGTCATTAGAAATAGAACTTTATTCCTTAGAGTCCTGAAGACTTTTTAGTCCCCAACAGCTCCCCTCATTAAAATTTAAACACTCAAGTGAAGGGTAATAATTTAAATCTACATTGACCGAGAGCTTAGTAGAATGCTAGATGGAAAGATATGATCCAAATGATGATACAGTTAGGTAGGTCAAACTAGTTGGCCAATAAGACCCCCAAAATGTCTACCTGGAGAGAAGTCTCTCATGGAATACAACAGAACTCCATCTTTAGTTCTGTTCAATGCTTTGTTCATCAGTGATTTAGATGAAATAATAAATGGCCTATGCTTCCATTCCTAATGCACTGGGTGACAGCATTGGAATCCAAAAAGATCTTAACCAACTGGAACAATGGGCCAGAGATATTAAGGTGAGATAAACAGAAATAAATGTAAACCATATATCCAGATTCAAAAAATCAACTACTGAAGTATAAAATGGGAGAGAGGTGCCCAAGAAGAATTCTTGTGAAGAAGACCTGGGGAGTTTATCGGATTACAAGCTTAAGATGAATGAAAAATAATAAGACAGGCAGACAAAGCTATTAACAGCTTGGGCTTCATTAATGGAAGACTAGAGTTCAAAACATGAAAAAGGATAGTTTCACTATCCATTATGATGGTCAGAATGCATCTAGAGAATTATTTCTAGTTCTGGAAGTCATATTTAAGTAAATTCATTGACAAGATGAACTATGTTTAGAGTAAGGCAAACAGGCTAGTATTTATATAGCACCTACTATGTGAGACACTGTGCTAAACACTTTACAAGTATTATCTCATTTGATCCTTACCACCACCCTGGGAGATAGATGCTATTGTTATCGCCATTTTACAGTTGAAGACACTGAGGCAAATAGAGGCTAAGTGACTTCCCCAAGGTCACACAGCTTGTAGGTACATGAGGCTGGATTAGAAGTCAGGTCTTCCTGACTTTCAACCCAGGGCTCCTTCCATTGTGCCACATAGCTGCGCTAGGACACTTGTGGAAACTTGAAGCTATGACGTAAAAAGATCAACTGGTGGAACTAGGGCTGTTTAACTTGGAGAAGAAAAAAAAGTATGAGGCACATAAGCTCTGTCTTCAGATATTTGAAGGGTTGTCATGTGTGGAAGAGGATTTTTTTTGGCAGTTGGGGTTAAGTGACTTGCCCAGGGTCACACAGCTAGTAAGTGTCAAGTGTTTGTTCTGAGGCTGAATTTGAACTCAAGTCCCTCCTGACTTCAGGGCCAGTGCTGTATCCACTTCACCACCTAGCTGCCCCATGGAAGAGGATCTTGAGGGTAGAGTGAGGGCCAGTGGGGTAGAAGTTATAAAGAACCAGATTTAAACTAAGTTAGATAGGACAGCTAGGTGGCTCAGTAGATAGAGCACTGGCCTTAGAGTCAGAAGGTCCTGAGTTCAAATGGCCTCAGGCACTTACTAGCTGTATGACCCTGGGCAAGTCACTTAACCCCAATTGCTTCCAAAAAAAGTAAAAGAAATTAAATAAGAGTGACAATCAAGTTAACTTCTGTCTAGATCACAACCTCCCCACCCCCTAAATCAAATTAGAGCTGCCCTAAAGTGGAATGGGACCTCCCTAGAGGTAATGAGTTCCCTGTCACTGGAAGCCTTAATACACTCATTGGAGATGTTGTGGTAGGGATTCTTTTTCAGGTTCTGGTAGGAATAGATGACCTCTGAAGTTCCTTCCCACACTAAGATTTTTAGAATCTCTGATTAGTTGGTGAGATTCATGGTTCCCACAGCCATAGGAACCAATGTGACATGAAAGTTAAAAGCCTAGTGTCCAGCCACCAGTAGCTGTCAGGAAGAGAAACATTCAGTATTTTCCTTATAAGGATACTACTTTAATTCTTAAATTAAAATTTTTTTCTAATCAACAGAAAACCCCTAAGCCTCAAATATCACCACCACCACCATTGCCCATTGAGAAGGAAAGAAAAATAAGAACCGTTACAACACATTTAGCCAAACAAAACAAATCCCCACAAATTGAAAGACACGGCTCAAATGGCTGGGCCTGTTCCCCCAACCCCTTCATGTGCTGATCCATTTCACTCATGTGATTTCATGCATTGTTTTTATTTCCCTCTTCTGTTGATTAAATTAAGTTCTCCACAGTAAAATTACTCAGTGATTTGTCATCAAGTTATATTTGTTTATATCCATTTAAACTTTTATGCATTTTTATTTATTACAGTAACCTGCTCTGGCAGTTCAGTAGGAATGGGTAAGTCCCTATTGCTGATTTTTAAAATGTGTATGTCTAAATCAATATAACCAACATGGTGTAGTAGCTGGGGTGCTGGACTTGGAATCAGGAAGATCTGGGTTCAAATTCTGCCTCTGATACTAGTTATGTGAATTAGGGAAAGGTTCCTTAACCAACCTGAGGCTTAGGCAACTCTTCAAGACTAGAAGTTACAGGTAAGTTGTAACCTAAGTTGGTGGTGCTCCCTAATTCATTAAAATTACAGGCCCTATCTAAAGATACATATGTATGTATGTATGTATGTATGTATGTATATGTACACCTAGACACATATATGTATATGTATATGTGTGTATACTTATATACGTATTATAAATAAATATATTATATAATATATCAATTGTATATATTATGTATAAATATATGACATATATATATATGCCCATGTACAAGCAGAAAGAAAGCCAGTCCCTGATGTCAAAAAGCTTACTTTCTAATGGGGGAAGATAACACATAAAAGGAAGCTGACTAGGAGGGGGTAAAAGAAAAGAGGTGAAATGATGAAAGGGCATTGTAGAAAAAGTCCAGAGAGTCATGAGTACAGGCTGGCAAGGAATGAAGACATGATTGGCCTGATATCCTCCTTCAAATGGAGATTCTGAAAGGAACCAGCCAATTAAAGGGAGAGGCCACAAGTGCCAAAGGTACTTCCAATATGAGAAGTCCAGGGGTAAAGTGGGTTTCCATGAAGAGATTTTTTATAGCTTGGTAGAGAAAATCTAAAGAGCAAAAATGCAGCCTAGAGAAAAATAAAGACATTGTTCGCTGTGACACCATGACACAAATTCACATTTTCCTAATCCAACTTCTCTGAAATCAGCTAAATATGGAATTATTTGGAGGAAAATGGATTGGAACAAATGGAGAAGGGGAACTCTTATTAACCCTGGTAAAATACATTGTGCTGACTCAATCCCTCCTAGAAGATTGAATTGTTCCACTAGCCTCCATTTCCTGTTCAGTTGCTATGGAGTCCTATAAAAACTGTATTTTAAGCCAATAATGCTGATTCAAAGAAGACTGAAAAAGAAACACCACTACCAGCTATTGTTTTTAGCTAAAAATTGCTATCCCTTTACTATGTCTTTTATTCAGTGATTTTCAGAGGAAAGAGAAATGCAGAATAATACCCCAAATTCTGGATGGAAACAGTGATTCAGTAAAGCAAGTAAGTAGTTTGGATTGGAGTTGTGGAGTTTGGGTGCCTGCAAATGGATTATTTTTTAAAAAATGTTTTCTTATCCTTTCTTTGCAGAATGCCTTATGCTTGTTTGATTTTAGTTGCAAATGATCTGTGAGAACCTGAAAGCTAAAGAAAAAAGGCAGCAGAGAAAACCAACAGTTCCCTCCTCTTTATCTGAGAAACTTCAACTCCACCATTTTTTTAGCAAGCCTAGTTCTTTGAGCAATTTCATACAATCGAGAGGGTCCCCTATAGAAAGAAGCTCTGGAGAGAACCGAGTCAAGAAAGTCAATGATCCTTCAGGAGTCTGGACAATGTATCAACCCATAGAAGGAGGACCTCTAAACTTCAGCACTGGACTGTCCCCAGCCTTCCAATGTACAATAGCAAGCTCTTTCCCTCTTTTTCATACCACTGTGTGTGTGTGTGTGTGTGTGTGTGTGTGTGTGTGTGTACACACATACATACATATGGAGACAGACAAACAGGGAGACAGACATACACAGAGACAGAGACACAGAGAGACAGAGAGAAAGTGTGTGGGTGTGTGGGTGTGTGTGTGGGTGTGTGAGAGAGAGAGAGAGAGAGACAGACAGACAGAGAGACAGAGATGTCTGTGAAGAGAAACAAAAATATAAATGGTAGTATAGTAACCATGAATATGTTAGTGCTATAAACTTTAGATGCAAAATTTGAGTTTGAAACCAATGCTTTGGACCATGCTAAGGGACTGTAAAGTGTGCCTTAACTTTCTACAAGCCTGTGAAATCCAAAGCTCCCAGCAGCTTCTTCAACTATTCCACTCAGTTCTCTATAAGTCCTCCTAAGCACCAAGTGCCAGTGCACATCTGTCTGCAAGTCAAAGCTCTGCAGTGAAACTAATCAGTGTGAGCATCTCCATGTCAAAGTCTCATAGCATAGACAATTTACTGTCCCCAATTTGCTGTTCTACAAGGCAATGTTTTCGGGTGAGCCATAAAGATGGAAAGGGCTATCTAAGCATCTGTTCTTTACTATCACAATCAGGTTGTGCTCAAGTCAATAAGCATTTATTATGCACTTACTATGTGTCGAGCACTGCCTTAAGCAGCTGGGAATACAAATCTAAGCAGAAAGACAGCCTCTGACTTCCAAGAGCTGATATTCTAATGAAGAAAGATAATACATAAAAAGAAGGTAAAAAGTATGGGAAAGGGGAAGGAGAAAGTACCTGCCTGGGGGCATGGAGAAGAGTCTGGAATGGTGCTCAGAGAGGAAGGAAAACATGGCTGGCCGGGGCACTTTCCTTAAAATAGAGATTCTGTGAGGCACGGATCAATCAGGGACAAAGTGTACTTCTAATGTGAGAAGGCCAGGAGCAGAAAGAATTTTCAAGGTGAGGAGGCTGCTGTGGCATGACGGAGAAAGTCTGGAGATTTGGCAGTAAGACCAGAGAGGAATACAGATAGGAGGGCAGAAGAGACATGTTAAGGATTCATTGAAACATGGCCTCTTAAGTGTCCATTACTGGCAAACACCCAGAAGCTGACAGGTCTTTTAGTCTGTGAAGAATGCAGCTTCTCTTCTTGCGGAAAGATTTCCCAAAAAAGGAAGATCTTCAAAGTCAGCATCTCAAACAGTGGCAGGGTTTTCTGAGAGTGACTGCAGATGCTAATCAAATGACACGCTTCACAAATTCTCTACTAGAAAGAATCTGTAATCCTTTCAACTGCACAAGGATTGCTGTAAGTTCAGTTTTTTTTTAAAGGATAATAACAAGCAAAATAATATAAAATTGTTGAGTACCACAAAGAGTATTTGTCCTTATATTTTTATAACAATATACAATTATTACAATCATACAATATCTGGACCATGAGAAGTTGAGTACATACACCATGCCTGCTCACACAGACAAATAATTTACACACACACACACACACACACACACACACACACACACACACACACCCCAGTCAATCAACCAGTGACAAGCATTGTGCTAGAGATACAAAGACAAAAGCAAAAACAGTTCCTGCCCTAGATGAGCTTACAATTCACCCAGAGGGAAAACAGGTACATATTTAGGTGTACACAAAATACATCCAACATAGTTGGGGACGACAGAGGAGGCTCTTGCAGCTGCTAGGATTAGGAGAAGTTTCACTTTGAAGGCAGCATCTGGGCTCAGCCCTAAAGCAAATTAGGGATTCTAAGAAGGCAGACATCTGACATAATCCATCACTCTCTTACCTTTGATATTCTCTTTTCTCTAGGTTTTCATGACACCACTCTTTCCTAGTTCTCCTACCTGTCTAATTATTCCTTCTCAGCCTCCCTTGCTGGATCTTCATCTAGGTCACTCCCAGTAACTATGAATAAGGAGGAAAGGGAAAAACATTTACTTAGCCCCTACTATGTGTCAGGCAATTGATAAATGTTCTCTCATTTGATTAGAGACATTAGAGGTTCAGTCTCTGAAGACTCTGTCCTGGGTCCTCTATGCTACCTTAGTTGGTGATCTCATCTACACCCAGGGATTCAATTATCATCTCCATGCACACGATTCTCATCTATTTGTCCAACCCAGACCTCTCTTCTGACCTCCAATTTCCCATCTCCAACTGCCTATTGGACATCTCAAAGTAGATGTACTGTAAACGTTTTAAATTCAGCATATTTAAAACTGTATTCATTCTCTTTCCCCAAAACCCTCCCTTCTTCCAAAAATTCCTATAACTATTGAAGGTACCATATATATGTATGTGTGTGTGAGCATGTGCATGTGTGCATGTTTATATATCTATTTCTCTCTCTCTCTCTCTCTATATATATATATATGTACATATATATATATATGTATATCCCCCAGCTATTTGATCCAGAGGGATTAACAAAAGAGAAGATGTGTTTCTTACAAAGCAATTTTGGTAAGAGCAGATAGGCCTAGACAGGGAAATGTGTTTATTAAAACAAAAAGAGGATGTTTAAATTGCTACAAAAGACAGAATGTGTGTATGGGGGGGGGGAGCGTTTGCAGCTAGGTGGAATAGTGGATATGGTGCTGGTCCTGAAGTCAGGGAGACCTGAGTTCAACTAGCTCTGTGACCCTGGGCAAGTCATTAATCTCTGTTTGCTTCAGTTTCCTCCTCTGTAAAATGGGGATAATAATAGCACCTACTTCCCAGGGCTGTTGTGAGGATCAAAGGAGAAAATAATTATAAAGTATGGCTCAGGATCTGGTATGTAGTAGGTGCTATTTAAAGGTTAACTACTGTTGTCATTATCAGGAATATAGTCACTTATACCAGACCAAAGAAAATCTGTCTTTTATCAGTCAACAAGCATTTGCCAAGGGTCTACTAGTGCTTTAACCATCCTTGAGCTTTTAAGGTTCTCTGAGTTTACTGAAGGAGAAAGACATTTTCCTGAGATATTGCATAGTAAAATTCCCCAGCAAATACAGAACAAAAAGGAGTTCCTTCTGATAACTTTTTTTTTTTTGGCTAGGCAATGGGGTTAACTGATTTGCCCAGGGTCACACAGCTAGTAAGTGTCAAGTGTCTGAGGTCAAATTTGAACTCAGGTCCTCCTGAAACCAGGGCCGGTGCTCTATCTACTGAACCACCTAGCTGCTCCTATGATAACTCTTACCAGATCATTCTCAGCTCTTTAAAAATCCTCTTTCAGAAATATCTTGTTTGTACATAGCTGTTTGCACACTGTCTTCCTCATTAGACTGTGAGTTCTTTGAAAGCAGTGGTAGTTTTTTGCCTTCCTTTGCATCCCCAATGCTTAGCACTCCGGTGAATAGTAGGTGCTTAAAAAATTCTTGTCAACTTGCCTTGTTAACTAAAATTTGCAGGAAGTCAGGGATTGAGAGAGGCAGGGGTGAGAAAGCAATGTATTTAAGGCATGGGGGGTGGGGAGGAGGATGGCCTAAATTCATTATTTTCCCTCTTATATTTTTATTGCTGTTCAGTCATGTCTGACTCTTCATGCCCCATTTTGGGGTTTTCCTGGCAAATATATCAGAGTGGTTTGCCACTTTCTTGTCTAGCTCATTTTGCATAGATAAGGAATTGAAGCAAACAGGGTTAAGTGACTTGTCTAGGGTCACGCAGCTAGTAAGTGTCTGAGGCCAGATTTAAACTCAGGTCTCCCTGACTCGAGGCCCAGTACTCTATCCAAGGTACCACCTAGCTCCCCTCTCCCCCAATCCCTCTCCCCCCACCAAAAAAAAACAACTGCCTAAGAACCTGAGCAGAGCAGCTCCTTTACACTGTGACTAATAGACTCACTTAGTTTCTTATCCTAAGGGTATTTGCATTTTAATGGAGAGACAAAAAGCTAGAGGAGACCTAAGACAGTAAATCTCTAGTTGAGAAATTCAAATCAGAGAAAGTGGGGATTTTAGGATTTAGTGCTGTAAGGGACTTTAGGGAACTATAGAATCACAGGAATTTAGAGTTAGAAGGGATGTTAGAAATATCATTTAGTGTAATTATCCCATTTTACAGATGAAGAAACTGAGACCCAAAAAGAGTATGTGACTTGTAAAACATCATACAGGAAATAACAAGGAGAGTTGGGATTTGAATTCAGGACTTCTGATTCTTGGGTCCAGTGTTCTTTCCACAAGTAAGCAGGTAATTTTTTTGGTGCTTCTAGAGTCCTGCAATGTAGAGGACCACATAACGCATAAAGTCAGCCCTCCAAAAAAAGGCAGGATGATGAATTGGAAGGGAGGAGACTAGAAGGCCATGAAGGGTCCAGTCTGGGTTAAAGCACAGCTCTTGCCTCTGTGGGCATCATTAAGACTGATCTGAGCTAAAGATGGTCAAGAAGATTGAGTCTGGACACCCAGTCCACAATCAGAGGGCTGAAACCAAAGGCTCAGAGGAGGTCAGACTTCACCACCGAGCATGGCTGAGGGGAAGGATTGAGGCTTTCAAAATCCAGGAGTTCTGGTCACTTGTAACAAAACTGTCTGGATGAGCC